AAGGGAAGCCCCTTCCCTTTGATCCCTCCCCCGCCGGGAGGGGGGGGGGGGGTTAGGGCGGACCCCCCCCCCCCCATCAATCCGAACGCCCCCCCCCTGGGACCTCCTCTCCCCCCGGCTCCAGCCAAGCCGACCTTGAGCAACGTCGTAATTCAGTCGAAGGGAAGCCCCTTCCCTTTCCCTCCCCCGCCGGGAGGGGGGGGGGGTATCGACCCCCCTCCCGGGTCAGATACGACGCCCCCCCCTGGGACTCTCTTCCCCTGGGCTCGATCCAAGCCGACCTTGAGCAACGTCGTAATTCAGTCGAAGGGAAGCCCCTTCCCTTTGATCCCTCCCCCGCCGGGAGGCGAGGGGGGGGTAGCGGGGGGCGGTAGCGACCCCCCCCCCAGGTCAGATACGACGCCCCCCCCGGGTAACTGATTCACCTCTTCCTTGGTCTCCAGCCCCGACCGCTAGAGGGTGGTGTGACCCCGACATCAAGCGCGACCTTGAGCAACCTCGAGGCTTGAGTCGAGGAGCCCCTTCCCTTTCATCCCTCTCCCCCGCCGAGGGGGGGGGGGTAGCGACCCCCCCCCCCCCGGGTTCAGATCCCAAACGGCCCCCCCCTGGGATCCTCTCCCCCGGGCTCCAGCCAAGCCGACCTTGAGCAACCTCGTAATTGAGTCGAAGGGAAGCCCCTTCCCTTTCATCCCTCCCCCGCCGGGTGGGGGGGGGGGGGTAGCGACCCCCCCCCCCGGGTCAGATACGACGCCCCCCCCTGGGACTCCTCTTCCCCTGGGCTCCAGCCAAGCCGACCTTGAGCAACCTCGTAATTGAGTCGAAGGGAAGCCCCTTCCCTTTGATCCCTCCCCCGCCGGGAGGGGGGGGGGGGTAGCGACCCCCCCCCGGGTCAGATACGACGCCCCCCCCTGGGACTCCTCTTCCCCTGGGCTCCAGCCAAGCCGACCTTGAGCAACCTCGTAATTGAGTCGAAGGGAAGCCCCTTCCCTTTGATCCCTCCCCCGCCGGGAGGGGGGGGGGGTAGCGACCCCCCCCCCGGGTCAGATACGACGCCCCCCCCTGGGACTCCTCTTCCCCTGGGCTCCAGCCAAGCCGACCTTGAGCAACCTCGTAATTGAGTCGAAGGGAAGCCCCTTCCCTTTCATTCCTCCCCCGCCGGGAGGGGGGGGGGGTAGCGGGGGGGGTAGCGACCCCCCCCCCGAGTCAGATACGACGCCCCCCCCCCGTACCGACCTTGAGCAACGTCGTCATTGAGTCGAAGGGAAGCCCCTTCCCTTTCCCTTCCCCGACGGGGGGGGGAGAGGAGGTCCCGGGGGGGGTCCCGGGGGAGTCCCGGGGAAGTCCCGGGTCAGATACGACACCTCCCTCCCCCACCTTCTCGTCCTTCTCCCCGTTCCCCCAAACCATCCCACAGCCCGTGCCTCTTGCTGCGCATTGCGAACAGGGTCGGCGGCACCGGCCGTCAGGCCTTCGCAATCCTGAGCAAAAAAGCAGGACAAGGGGGGGGGGGGGGGGGGCGAACACTCCCAGCACGTCATCAGGGGAAGGAGGAGAGTAGTATTCATATTGAATTTGTAGATGGAGGAGGAGAACGACGAGGAGGAGGAGGAGGAGATGGAGGAAGAAGGGGGAGGAAGAGGATGAGGAGGAGGAGAAGGAGGAGGAGGACGGGTCGCCTACGCCCGTCGGAGAAACTCTCCAGCTCCGACCTGCTCGACAGACAGGTCGTCCCCGTCGCCGCCGCCTGCCGTCGCCGAGAAGGTCGAGCCCGTGCGATGAGCTGTGGCCCGTCCGCGCCCCGTCCGTCGCGTGGAGCTTGCCTGGGCGGCCCAGGCCAGCCTCTTCCGACAGCCCCAGGCCGGCCCCAGGGTTAGGTCGGGCACGTGGTCCTAGAGGCAGATTTGGAACGAACAATAATACAACAACAATCAAACACATTCCAAAACAAGAATGGAAAAAGAAAAACACAAAGTAATCAAACAATCTGAAAATAGTAGAAGAATCGCCCCCAGACTATGTTTCGGCTATTTTCGAACAGTTCTCCCGTTGAGAGACATGCCCGACGTACGTAACCCTAGGGGAGCGGGGGCGCACCGCGCGCAGCTGGCCCAGGCACCCCCGAGGTCGCGGGCATCGTCGAACCGCGGCCCAGAAACGGAGGAACCGCAGGAAGAGCAGCAGGAGGAACAAAGACGGGAGGGGGAACACTATGAGGAGGAGGAGGAGGAGGAGGAGGAGGAGGAGGAGGAGGAGGAGGAGGATAAGGAGGAGGAGGCGGAGGAGGCAGAGGAGGCGGAGGAGGACGATGACTAAGAGGAGGAGGAGGAGGAGGAGGAGGAGAAGGAGGAATAGGTGAGGACGCGCTAGATGGGGAGTGAGAGGGTGAGGATGGCAATGTTGGAGGCACGAGGGAGGATCAGGATCACGACAGATGGGAGGATAAGAGAGAGGAGCATGGGGTAGCAGGAGGAGGAGCAGGAGGGAAGCACTGGAAAGCATCGAAAATTTATACGTGAATATGTACATGTGTAGATGTGGCGGATTCCAGGAACCCTGAACCCAAAAACGCTTCCATGTCTTGGGGCGCCTCGTTTACTTCCGCCGCGCGGAGGCGGCCCCCCTTTACTTCTGCCGCCTTCCGCCGAGTAAGAGCCAGCAACCCCTTCGATCATCGAAAACAAGGCCCGTTTATAGAGGAAAAACCCAATCAATGGATGGTTTGAAATGGGATCGATAAACATATCGATGAGGAGATCGACTGGGACCCCGGGATCCCGGAACCCACCGAAATCGGCCCGGAACCAATAACCAGGAACCCAGGAACCCGGAACCGGGAACCCAGCAACCCAGCCAGCTACCAAATTGGCGGGAAACTTTCGCCAAATCTCCCCGGGAGCCCGGAACCGGGAACCCCGGAACCCAGCGTGCGACCAAAATCGGCGGATAACTTTCGCTTGATCTTTCAACTTCCGCTAGGACCCTTCAGTGCAAGCACTGATTGGGGAATTCGCCAGCCCAAAGGGCCAGAGGCGTGCTAAGATCTCCAGTAACTGGTTAACAATTCTTCTAATTCGCGCGCGCGGGGCGGCCCCTGGGGGTCCCCCGGCGACAAGTACCCCGACCGCAGCCCAAAGTCCCGGGGAGGTATACTCAGAGATGGTTTTGAGGGCCTTTTTTCGACACCCCTCACGAGGATTGTGGCCTCCGAGGGGGGTGCACTCGGCTACCCCGCCCCAAGAGGCCCCCAAGAGCCCCCCAAGAGGCCCAAGGGGGCCCCAAGACGCCGCCAAGGAGCCCCAAGAGATCCCCAAGAGGCCCCCAAGAGGCCCCCAAGAGGCCCCCAAGAGGCTTCAAAGAGGCCCCATAGAGCGCTCGAGGGCCGGCGGAATGAGCGAAGCGATTAAATAATAATGTGCCGAGACAGAGAGGCAGAGAGACAGGGAGAGAGCAGTGACGACGAGACGCCGCCGCGCGAGCGCGCCGCGCCAGGGAGGCGAGCCCAGAATCGAATCGGCAGGTCGGATCGGCGATCGACATGCATCGGATCGGCGAAAATCGGCGGCCAAGCGGCAGGCCAGCACGCCTTCGGTCCGGAGGAGCGGAGCCCAGGGCGGAATCCCGAGCCGAACCGTACCGGGATCGAAGCCATCGGAAGCGGATCGACTCGAGTCGGACGAGTCGAAGCGAGCCCTGCCAGGGGTCGGGAGCGGCCAAGAGGGGGCTGTCCAAGAGGGGGGGGTGCAAATCATGACCGGCGGCATGTGCGCGGCCCAGCGGGGGGCCGGGGACGTGATGGATCAAGAAGAGGCGCCCTGAGATCTGGGGAGATATCATGGCCCCCGCCATGATATCCACCCCCTCCCCTAGTCATCACCCCCCTCTTTTCCGCCCCCGAAGGGGAGCGGGCGCGCCTTTGTCCGCCATGGCCGCGGCCGGGGCGGACGAGGCGGGGCCTCCCGCGGCACGGCGGCCTCGGCGGCGGAGAGAGGGGGCCGGCGCGGGCCGACCCCTCCAGGGCTGCCGCGACTGCAGGACAGCCATCGCGCTGCCCTCAGGAGCGCCGTATGTGGCGAAACGTAGTCGGACCTGCTTGGAGAGGACACGCAAGAGGACACAAGTGAAGGGGCCCCAGGACACACAAATAGATACACACAAATAAAAAGATTCCCCATATTTTCCATATCTTCTGGGTTTCTGTCTTCCCCCCCACTTCCCATATTTTCAAATACTTTCGGAGGAATCGAGAATTAATTGTGTCTGTGTGTTTTTTCCTCTCCTGAACAAGACCCTTTCGAGGGCCACGTTGCCACAGAAAGGCAAGAGGCACGGGTCGCAAGACACAGGACACGAGGGTACCCTGGATCTGGCAGGGTCGACCTGCGAATCCGGGCCGCCTGTACCTAGGGGGCCACATGCGAACCCTACCCCTACCACCCACGATTTCTGAGGGGGTAGGGTTAGGGTTCGCATGTGGCCCCCGAGTACAGCGGGGGCCCGACCACAAGAAACCTTCCACAAGAAACCCAACCCTGAGACCCCAGGGCGTGCATGAATTGCTGGTGTGGGAACGTCGCGCTCTCCGTGGCAGAACCAGCGAAACCCAAGAAACCCAGGGCACCCTGGAGGCAAGCAAGGTGTTTCTTGGCATGGCCCCCCCCGTAAGAGTGGCCCTAGGCACGAGTGGCCTTTCGTGCGCGGACCAAGGGGGCGCCAAGTGCCCAAATCCAAGCGCGCAAGCAGCCGCTGTCGCATCGCGCTCAGCCATTGCGGGGCGACCCTAGTGAGCCCGCACCAAGTCACTCAGGCGAATGGTTCGGAGGCAACTCATGGGAGCCTCCCATACGATCTTGTCGGCTCCTGCGAATCGACGCAAGATCGACACTCACCGACGCTACATCGACGCTAATCGACGCTACATCGACGTTAATCAACGCTGTCCGACGCCAGATCGGCGCGACTTCATCGACCCCCAGACGCTAATTGACGCTGGTTGAAACTACAGGCGGGATTCAGAGGGTATACGGTGCGGGCGCGGCCGCAAGAAACCCCCGCAAGCAACCCAACCCTGAACACCAGCGCGCGAGGTGCACCTGAGTCACCTGGGGGGAAACCAGGAGCACCCTGAACGCAGCAGCTTTTTCGACGGCTGCGGGAAGTCACCGCGCAGCGCGCAGAGCGAAGAAGCCCAGGATACCCCGTCGAAAACCACATGGCTTCTTGATGCGCGCGCGTGGGCCAGCCCTTCCCAGGAGGCTCAGACCCCTGCCTTCTGGGGAGCTCCCTGAGCCGTCTCCGGGGCCACGGCGGGCCTTCTCAGAACTGGCCATCGCTCGGACGTCCATGCCCTGTGTTTTTGTTTGGTTTCGTGCGTGGTTTTTCGCCAAATGATCAAGGATGCCCTCGAGGGTCAAAGGTCGAGGGGCGGGGGTGGAGGGGCCCGACTCGAGGGTCCCGGGCCGAGGACTCAGACTCATGTTCTTCCTCCTCCTCCTCCTCCTCCTCCTCCTCCTCCTCCTTCTCCTCCTCCTCCTCGCCGAAGGAAAAATGCACACGTCCGAGCGATGCCAAGAGAAGGCAGGGAAGCTTCCGAGGAGCCCCGCCGCCCTCCGAGAAGGCCCGCCCCCTCTCACCGGCCCCCCCGGCGTGCCGCCGACAGGAGCTCCCAGGCACCTTCACGTGGTGCTTCGTCGACGCGCGCCCCCACTGCGCCAGGCTCCCACGGGCACACAAATACACACACAAATAGAAGGAGCCCCCATATTTCCCCATATTTTCTGGGCGTTTGCCTTCCCCCCCACTTCCCGTAGTTCCCCATACTTTTCTGGGGATCGACGATGAATTGTGTCTGTGTGCTTTTTCCCCTCCTGAGGTAGCGAATCGTTCAACCCGGAACGATCGCGGCCCTCCAACCGCCAGGCGCCGCTCGACCGCCAGGCGCCGCTCGAATCGGCACCACACGACTCTTCCGTGTCACTTGGACGCGGGCTCGTGAGAGATGGAGGGAGGCTGACGAGGAACGGGAGGACTGGAGGGAGCCTGGGGAGGAGGAGGAGGAGGAAGAGGAGGAGGAGGAGGAGGAGGAGGAGGAGGAGGAGGGGAGAGGAGGAGGAGGGGAGGGGAGGAGGAGGAGGAGGAGGAGGGAGAAGGGAGGAGAGAGGAGGGAGGAGGGAGCCTGAGTGTTTTTCCCCCTCCTGAGAATGGCCACTCCCGCGCGGCGTCGATGTGTCAGGCGCGGGAGGGGAAGCGGCACCGGGCCGGCCGCGGTCGGCCTCGGCCGCGACAGCAGGTCTGCCCGGGCCCCGCCACGATCCTTCCCCCTCCCCCCCTCCCTCCTCCAGCCCTCCTCCCTCCTCCCTCGCCCTCCTCCCTCCTCCCTTCTCCCTCCCCCTCCCTCCCTACGCCCTCCTCCCGATCCTCCCTCCTCCCCTCACCCGTCCTCCCTCCTTCCCTCCTCCCGCCTGCCCTCCTCCTCCTCCTCCTCCTCCTCCTCCTCCTCATCCTCCTCCTCCCCGTCCATTCCCTCTCCTTACATACGCCCCCTGACATCCTTCAGTTCAGCGATCTGGCCACTGAGAATCTCCATGGCGACGCTCAGGGGCCAGATCGCTGAACTGAAGGATCTTAGGGTGCGTATTATAGATAACTCCTCTCTGTCGCACCCCGAGGCCAATTTTTAGGGCCATGTATTGTTATGAAGCTCAAAAATGGCAACGATTTCACAGATGGAGGGCGGGTCTGTTCCAAGATGTGGCTCTCGCCTTAGCGCCGCGCACCTTCGTTTTGAATGTTTCAAAGAGTTTCACGGATTGAGGGCGGGTGGTTTTCAACATGTGGCTCTCGCCTTAGCGCCGCGCACATTCGCTTTAAACATTTGCAAGGGTATCAAGGATCGAAGAAAGGTCGTTTTCAAAATGTGGCTCTCGCCTGAGCGCCGCGCACATTCGTTTCAAACATTTGCATGGGCTTCACGGATCGAGGGCGGGTCGTTGTCAAAATGTGGCTCTCGCCTGAGCGCTGCGCACACTTTTCTTAACAAACGCAAGGGTTTCACGGATGCCCATGATCAACGTACCAGAAACTGCGTGTTGGAAGGATTCAGGATTACGCAGGCGCAACAGCTATGATGATTCGCTGTGTTGAAGTCCCAAAGCTGACGTTCTGGCAAGATTCTGGATTGTAAAGAGGCAGCAGTCAAGTTGATACGTGGCGTTGAAATCCCGAAACCAATGTTTTGGCGCGCTTCAGGATCTTCAAACGGGTGTCTTCCAACGGGGCAGTTCCCTCAATGGCAATGAACCGTTATAGGGGCCTATGAGCAGAGAGAGCTTCGAGGGAGGGTGAATTCCAACATCGTTGATGACTCTTTGGTTTTAACTGGTCCTCCTCCTCCTCCTCCCTCCTCCTCCTCCTCCTCTTCTTCGTCTTCTTCTTCCTCTTCCTCTTCCTCCTCCTCCTCCTCCTCCTCCTCCTCCTCCTCCTCCTCCTCCTCCTCCCTCTCTT